TGTTTGGCCGATCAGAAACTCCCACAGTTCATTTTGTGTTTCACAGCTCCCCTAAAGTGGTGATGATAAGGCCAAAAAGTCCCATCTACAACTGGAACTCCTCTGCTGGAGCTACTATCTGTGCAACTCAGATTCAGATAAAAGGAGGAAAGCTGACAGACAGACATTGCCATGATAACTCAAAATAGCAATAAGCTGCACATCCCTCAGCAAAACCAGTAGAATTGATGTATGAAATGTGTGGATGCACTATTCTGTCTGAGCCTTAATTATGTAAATGGGAGAAAAGTAAAGAGAACGCCTTAGATGTAAATAATTATAGAGGCCTTTTGAACCATGGCACAATGTTTCCTCTTCCTTTTTTAAAGCCTGTATACAAAGGAAGTCCCTGTTCATTCTAAAGCATCACTGTGGTCCATTAGTATCAGCTGCTGGTTTTACGTTTATCTTCAATTATTTGATGATGGATGTAAATAAAGGATCTGAAGTGATTTATGAAAATCACAACATATTTGGTCCAGGTAAGAGATGATTGTATATTTTATGATTCAAACAATGAGTAAACATTTCTAAAAAACAAAATAGGGGCAATCGTTATAATTCATTCATATTATTTAGCCTTTCTAACTTCTCTGTTCTTAAAGCTGAATGAGAAACACATCTGTGTTTGCTGACTTCAGATTATGTTTGCAGGAGGACTTTAAGAAGGTCCATATTTATCATACAGATTTTTGCTTTCAGATGAATTGTGTTACCTGGAGTTTTAGGATGAAACTGACTTGAAGTGTAATTTCTGTTAACTGGAGTGTTTGTTTTTGTTTCTCTTCTCATGAAGCAAATGATTCTTCAGTGAGCTATGAAAACTCCATTACATTTGGAAAAGGTAAAAGATTTCTATACAGTAAAAACTTTATGAAACAAACAATTGTTTTTTTTCTAATGAAAATAAGTTTTTCTTTTTCTGAATTTTATCTAAATTAGAGTTACAGAAAGGAGTTCTGCAGGGATTAATAAAAATCCTAATGGAGAAAAAAAAGGTAAGAGACTTCTGAGTAGTACCTGGTGAACTTTTAAAATTCTAGTTTAGGTTGGTAATTATGACCATCCATACATCACTCCACCAATTTCCTTGGGTTGGGTTGCTGATTCGATTGGATTGGATTTGTAATTATGACCATCCATCCATACATCCATCTAACCGTCCATCCATTTTCCTCAGTTTTTCTGGGGTTGGGTCACTGAGGCAGCTGATTAAGCAGAAAAGCACAAACTATCCTCCACCCAGTCACTTGAGACAGCTCCTCCAGGAGATCCTACAGCATTCCCGGGCCATTTGAGAAAGCTAGGATTGGGACAATATTCAGTGTAACCTGTACCAAGTTTTGTAACTTGGAACATTGCTTTGAGACAAAATGATTTGTAACACTATAGATTTGAGGTTTGTACCTGTAGAATGAAATGTGTGTTTTGAGAGTTTTGATTTCAAACTTGTACATTGATTTTTTAATTTTGGAAGTCTGTTAGGTAAAAACCGAAAGTTTCATGTTTCTGAATGAATGTTTGATGTTTCAAAATGAGTAGTAAATGTACAAAATAAAAGTTTGATTTTACAAACTAAAAAATGCATGTACAAAATGAAAATTTCCTGTAACAAAACAAGAAATACAAGTACAAATTGAGGATTACAAGTTAGAAAACTAAAGTTACAAGTTTCGAATCCAAAGTTACGTGTCATGAAACATTGCTCAAATTTATTGATTCAGCTTATTTGTGCATATGTAATGACTAAACATAATGTTGGTAAAATGCTGTATTACTTTATTACTAGTACATCTGGCGAGATCAAATGTGACACAGCTTCACTTCCATCACGGCGAAACACCTTCCAATATAAAATCCCAATCCTCTTCAACCTACCGATCTCACTGACTGAAAGCACCATAGCAGGCTGGGAAAGCTGCTTTCACCCCTCAAATCTGGGCCATTGTCCACCTTTCCACAACAGAGACATTTCTTGTATAACAGGGTCAGCCTGCTGAGGAGATCAAATGTCAGATAGAGTGTACTTGGAGTAACACTGCAATAGCAGCCCAAGTCACCTCTGTTCCTCCAGCCTGCATGACCTGCTGGAAAAATGTAGGCAAGTGGGTTCCTGCAACCAAAAGTCCTCTTTGCAGACGGCCGTTGCATCAGCGTTGATGTTGCTTTTTCCAACATGTAATGGACCTCAAAATCTAAGTCTGCCAGCTGCACCACCCACCCCTGCTCAGTAGCACCCAGCTTGGCAGTGGCCATATGACTAAGTGGGTTATCAGTGCAAACAACACTTGTGACCTAACAGATGTTCCATGAACTTTTCAGTCAAGGTCCATTTACACCCTGATCTAGAAATGATTTTAATAATTCCTAGAATCACCCTAGGTGACATTGCTTGTTTTAAAGAACCAATCAATCAAGCTTTATTTCTATTGTGCTTTCCACCACCCTGCTGGACAAGAAAAGTAACAAAGATAAAAGTAGCAAGTCACAAAAACATTAAAAACAAAATAAGAACATAGACATTTGTGAGAACAATAAAACACTAATGAGATCAAATTTAGATAAAAGAAAATTCAAATTAAGTAGTTAAAAGAAAGCTAAAAACAAAAAGTGAAAACCAGCTAATTAGCTTAAACTATAATGGTAAAATGGTAAATGGCCTGCATTATAGCACCTTATATTGCTACAACCACCCAAGGTGCAACACATAGTCATTCACCATGCACGCACATTCACACGCCACAGTGAATTAACTTTGTTTTATATGACCCGCTTGAGTGAAACCCAACAGCTGCACTGGTGCCTGGTTTGCTGCAGCGCAGAGTTTTAGTTTATAGTTTGATTAACGATGTGTTTTCGCACATCAGACATTTAATGCAGCAATAAGTCATTTGAAGCATAACATATGATTGTTTATTCAAAGTTAAGAGAAAGGAGTGGAGTGGGAGCTGTTTGGTGTGTGTGTGTGTGTGTGTGTGTGTGTGTGTGTGTGTGCGTGCGTGCGTGCGTGCGTGCGTGCGTGCGTGCGCGTGTGTGCATGCGTATGTGTTACCATACCGACTACACTTGGGTCAGAGTTTGCTTAAAGTTGTGCAAATTTTCCATTTTTCTTATAAATCACAAAGTTTGCATTGACAAAGACTGACATAATTTCCAGACCTAGTTTGGTTTGTATAATCAAGCTTTAAGAAAGAGGCCCCACATCTACTTTGCATACACCTGATACTGAAATAGCTTGACAAACTATATCATGGCTGGTTTGTTATTTGCATGTCCTTGTTCTTTAGTTTGCATCTGATTTAAATGAAGCACATAAATTGGCTGTGGGTAAGAATTTACGATTATGATAGTGAAAGTAAATAATTCTAGTTTGGTTAAGCCACCTCTTCAGGTCAAGACTCCACAGTCCACCTACACCTGAAGGACAAGAGACACACTTTTGAAGATGACAAAGTACACATTCTCAACAGAGAAGATAGATGGTTTTAGAGAGGAGCAAAAGAAGCTATCTATGTCAAACATGAAAAACCTACTTTAAATGAGGGAGGGGGACTTAGATTTCACCTTTCCAGTACCTATAATGCAGCTTTGAATCTTATTCCTAAGCAGTTTCAGTTTAGGTCACACCTTCCTGCATCTAAGCAACATGACTCCCTCTCAACAACTCATCGGGGGTAGAGAGGAGTGTTACCCAGAGTAGTTTCTGCTCATTGAATAACAACAGGCAGCTACAGTTTATAAACTTGACTCCCCCATATTCCAGTTAGAATTAACAAAGCTCCTCAGATGAGAGGAGAAACATCTTAAAGAAACCAAAGAAGTCAAAATGCCTTCGTGTGAATCTTTTTGATGACTAATTACTTGAGCTGTCTCAAAATTTTCTTTGGCCCCATCTTGCCACCCTAATCACAGGGAAGCGCCCCAGAGGTGCAGATGTTTTTTTAACCATAACAGGATAACCATAACAGCATTACCTGTTTACTGTGTACAATAGGCATTTTATAAAGACCACACACACACACACACACACACACACACACACACACACACATATATATAAGACCAGTAACTGTTCACATAATCCATTTTATCAGTCAACCTAAAACTATCAAATTCCTAGTATTTTATTATGAGTTATTAGCACATAATTAGCATTAGCTAACCATTTTCTTGCCATGATGCTTTTGTTTGTGTGTACGTGAGCCTGTAGTGTCACTGCTCTTAATTTGCTTTATAATGACCGCAACATCATTGTTATTAAGCATTTTTTTATTTGTAAAGCACCTTCTTAGGTTTCTTAATCCCATCACAAGCTAGTAAAAGGAATACAGCATGACCTGAAAGAGAAGGGTTGTTTTCTACAGGTTGTTGAAATTAAACCAAATTAATGGTCAGTTTTAAGCTTTAAGAAGTTTCTTTCTTATTTTTCTAAGTTTTGAATTTCTCCCTTAGTTTGAGTTTATTTCTGAAAATACTGTGAAGTTGGATATTTTTCCTGATCTGTTCCTGGTTTGCTTCCCGCTCTTCCATCACCAGTCTACTCCGCATGGAGTCACCAGCACATCATCCAGGAGATTTAATAGTCAAATTCTTGTTCATCTCATCAGATGCAGGGTTTATTATAGTCGGTTCTGTTACCTGTCCTGCTTTATGCATTGGTAAAAACGTAAATGTCTCAGTCAGCTGAAACCTGATGTGCGGGAGGAGGAGGATCCATCATGGATGAGTAAGGTTATAACCCACAGGAAGAGAGGAGCTGAGATGGACTAAACAGTTCTGGGTTTTACCCGTATCGTCTGATCTCACCACTATAAACCTCCATCACTTCAAATGTATTAGTATGCATCACTAGCGGAACAAATGAGAGCCGGGGCCCCCAGCCCCCCTGAACCCCCCCCCCCCCCCCCCCCCCCCCCCCGGTGTGCATCTATTCAGCACTTAAAGGAACTCAAACCCTTAAAAGTTCTTTAGTGTTCAGTTTTATCATCTAAAGACTAAAACATTAAAAAATATTTAATACTTAGATTTTATTTAAACAAACTTACACAAAATCAAATACAACATATGTGCACTAGCTGCACACACACACACACACACACACACACACACACACACACATGCACACGCACTTCATGCATAACTCAATTAAATATGAACAATGGTTCCTTAAACGATTATTATAGTTCATGACACAAAATAACAAAAAGATTCCATATTTGACAGCATTATGAGGATTTTTTTTATTACAGCTAAAATGTTAAATGTTCTGATCCAGGGGCTGAGTCCTAATCCGGTCCAATCAGAGCTTTGCTCTCACAGATCCAGCGGTTCCTCATGTCACAGCTAACTCTCATCCAGTTGGCCAATGGGAGTTCATGGGGGTTACTTAGAACACAGTAGGAGTTGTAGTTCGGTTTTTCTGTCCCCCAGAACCTGATGAATGAAAATCAGTGAGTTATTTTATTTACATTTACATTTTCTTTATGGTTTAGGATCAAAACACAACGTTTTACCTCTAACTCCAAACATACGGCCAAGTATGAGGAGGTTAGATTTTCTTTAAGAACTTTATGTCTCAACAACGATGACGTAATCTAGAGTCAGTAAACATGAACTGAGGCTTCTCGTAATGTTTGAGTTTGTTTATTCTTTTAGATTTGGTGTCTGACTGTAGCTGTCCTGTTTCAGAACAGCTGTAGCTGTAGCATTAGTATGAATGTTTCTACATGTTTGGTTTGTGGCTCCACGCTTCCCTCCTGTCTTTTTCTGATGTTTGCGTTTGTTTCTGGTGCAAAAATAACAAAAAGCTGTGATGAAACTCATTTCCTTGTCTGGATTTCACTCGTTACCGTCACCTCCTGATCCGAAAAGAACAAAGTTACAGTAGTCATGAAGTGGAGGTTAAAAGGTTAGAGGGTGTGTGTGTTTGTATGTGTGTGCATTTGTGTGCATGTGTGTGTGTGTATATGTGTGCATGCGTGTGAGTGTTTGCTTGTGTGTGCGCATGCACAAGTGTGTGTTTGTATGTGCATGCGTGTGTGAGTGTTTGCATGTGTGTGCATGAATGTGTGTGCTTGCATGCATATGTGTGTGTACATGCTTGTGTGTGTGTGTGTGTGTGTGTGTGTGTGTGTGTGTGTGTGTGTGTGTGTGTGTGTGTGTGTGTGTGTGTGTGTGTGTGTGTGTGTGTGTGTGTGTGTGTGTGCGCGCTTACATCACAGTGAGGTTACTTCCATCCACCCACATCCTCACGTCCATCGTGTTTCTGCGGCTCAACCCAATCCAGTAACCGTGGTTTTTATCATTATATTCCATTGTGTGATTACTGATGAATTCCTACAAGATGAAATAAACAAATGATTAAAGGATAAATGTGAAAGAAGAACTAACAATAAGTAGTAAGTAAGTAAGTATATTTTATTTATATAGCACTTATCACAGACATAGAATCACAAAGTGCTTCACATAGATCAAAACAAAATAAAATAAAGTCATAAAACCATAGTGATCTAAAACAGAAACAGATTAACATCAGAAAAAAATAAGTCATAAAAAATCATAATGAAATAGATTTACATCAGAAAATACAATCAATATACAATATTATCATAATGTTATAAAATGTCATAAATAGATTAAAGATGATTACACATTTTAGTTAAAAAAAAGAAAATAAAAGATTTAGGTAAAAGCAGCTTTAAATAAAAGGTCTTTAGCTGTGGGGTTTTTTTTTTTTTTTTTACGTGTCCATATTGTCAATCCTACGTGAGGATAAAGGAAGATCATTCCAAAGTCAGGTTCCAACAGTCTGGAAGGAGCGATCACCTCGACTTTTATATCTGGTCTTTGGAACGTCTAGAAGGTTCTGGTGTGTGGACCTGAGGGCTCGGGTTGGAGCATAAGGCTTTAACAGTTCAGAAATATAGGGAGGAGCTTGACCATGTAGCGCATTGAAAGTTATAGTCAGGATTCTAAAATAAACTCTAAAGTTAATGGGTAACCAGTGCAGGAACATTAGAATAGGAGTGATGTGAGCTCTTCTGTTTGCTCCAGTTAGGAGCCTCGCTGCAGAGTTCTGGACCAACTGAAGGTGGACAAGTGCTTTTTTATTCATTTAAATTAAATTCAAGTTTATTTATATAGCGCCAAATCACGTCGTCTCAAGGCACTTCACATAATAAACATTCCAATTCAGGTCAGTTCATTAAGCCAATCAGAAATAATGTTTCCTATATAAGGAACCCAGCAAATTGCATCATGTCACTGACTAGTGTCAGTGACTATACAGCAACCCTCATACTAAGCGAGCATAAAGCGACAGTGGAGAGGAAAACTCCCTTTTAACAGGAAGAACCCTCCAGAGAATCCTGGCTCAGTATAAGCAGCCATCCTCTACGACATGTGAAGAGTGTGTTATAGTAATCTAAACAGGAGGAGATAAAGGCCGGGAGAACCATTTCAAGTTCATGTTTTGACACCAACCTTCGCAGTTTGGAGATATTTCTTAAGTGATAAAAACAGTTTTGGACCTATGTTTTGAGTGACCTTCAAGAGACATTGATTGGTCAAAAACACCACCCAAATTCAGTAAGTTCATCTTGAAGGCAGAAGATGAATGGCCAAATTTTAGACTAATCGGGGGAACCATGGTCTCAGGGACAATGATCAGACATTCAGTCTTTTCTGAGTTAAACTGAAGGAAGATTTCTTCTACCCAGCTGGTGATAGCTGATAGACACTCTAGTAATTCAGTTTATAGAGCTCAGAATCCTTAAAGGAGCAGTACAGCTGAATGTCATCTGCATATAGGTGATAAGAGACATTGTGTAAAGAATCAATTATCTGTCCAAGAGGGTGTATGCACAGCAGAAACAACAGTGGACCCAAAACAGAGTCTTGGGGTCCACCACAGAACAGATAAGTAGAATCTGACATGATTTGGTTTATACAGACACCGTAACTTCTGTTAGAAAGGTACGATCTAAACCAGTCTAACAGTTTCAGAGATCCCCACAGGGTCACAAAGTCTGATAATTAAGGTGCTGTGATCAGGAAGAAGAAGAAGAAGAAGAAGAAGAAGAAGAAGAAGAAGAAGAAGAAGAAGAAGAAGAAGAAGAAGAAGAAGAAGAAGAAGAAGAAGAAAAAGAAGAAGAAGAAGAAGAAGAAGAAGAAGAACTGCTATGGGACACCAGGTTGGAAAAATAGGAAACCCTGTTGTCTCTGACTGCAGAGTTAAAGGATGTCAGAAGATCCTTTAGGTGCAGCAGATGGACGTGGAGATGGGTTTTCTTCTGCAAGTGCTCAATTTTTCTGCATTGGCACTTTAGGCTGCGGAGGCTGTCATTAAACCAGGGAGTAGTGTTCACTGCAGGAACTGATCTGGTTCTGACAGGACAGATGTTGTCCAGAATGGAGAGGCAGTGCTTGTTAAACTGAGAAGTTAAGGAATCTGGGTCGTTATCAGAAGAACAGGGTGGATCAAAAGCAGCAGAAAATTTTCTAGCTGTGCATTAAGCAAACGACAACTAACCATACAGCGAGCAGGAGGTGGGGACGCAGAAACTGACAAGTTAAAGAAAATGCAATGGTGATCTGAAATATAAATGTCCTCAGGACAAACACTGTCAGCATTTAGACTCAGAGTAAAAACAAGTGCTAGAGTGTGCCCCCTGGTGTGTGTGGGGCAAGAAACATGCTGGGTAAAGCTGAAGGAGTCCATAAGGCTGGAGAAATTCATGGCAAAGTGGTCAGAGGGATCATCAACGTGGGTGTTAAAATCACCAACAATCACCAGTCTGGACAGCTTCACAGTGGAGGATAGAAAGTCACTAAACTCCTGAAGGAAAGAACTGTTTGGACCAGGTGGACGATAAACCACAGCACAGTAGAACAGGTCCTTACGCCCGACTTTAATCAGCTGCAGTTCAAAGGAAGCAAAGTGACCAGAGGTTGTAGAGCTACATGGATGATGGTCTCTGAAAACAACAGCTAGGCCTCCACCACGACCAGAACCCCGGGGCTGGCTCAGAAAAGAATAACCACTCGGGCAGAGTTCAGTCAGACCAGAATAATCAGATGTTTGCTGCCAAACTTCAGTCAGAAACAGAAAATCCAGGTTTTTAGAGAGAATTAGATAATTGAGCAGGAAAGATTTATTGTTAACAGAGTGGGAATTTAATAGAGCCATGCTGAGTGAGGTGGAGGAATCAGAAACTACAGAAACAGCTGAAGTTAGTGAATGTAAATTATTAGGGTTAGATCCATGGTGTTTATAAAAACCACTTATGGAGGGAACAGGAGGAGAAACCACTGAGGAATGAGGATAAACCAACCTTAAAAAACTTGGACGGAAAAAACCGTGCCGCAACGCGGCCTGGCGGGAATGCAGAAGTGGCTCTCAAGTCACCAAACAAAGGAAAAGAAGCTAGAAGATCACGCCGATGTTTACGAGATAAACCATGCTTTAAGAGAAGTCTTATTATCACCTGGATTCCTGCTCGTTTACCTCTTTTCCTCCAACATTTTCCTGGGACCAGATGAACATCGCTGGAGGCGCCCTGGTTGGAATCATCGTTTGGCTCCGGGCCAGTGCACCACTCAGATAAACAAACAGGGAGGTACGTCCTCGGTGCATCTTGGGTGATCGTGAACGAACGGAAGGACAAAAGAGTCTGGCGATCATAGGAGATGGTAGCAGGGCCACTACTGAAGAGGATCGCAGACAGGAGCATGGTGGAAAAGAGGAGATTAGTGAAGAAAAGTTTGAAAAAGTGGCCGGTGACTGCGGCTAAGCCAAGCACAGGCGCCATCTTGTTACCGACCGGCAAAAGCTGCAGAAAGATCTAACAATACTAACACTGTGAACTCCCCGTTGTCTGCAGCCATCATGATGTCACTGGAAACTTTAAGCAAAGCTGTTTCTGTTGAATGCTTTTTACAAAAACCCGCCTGGACTTTGTCAAAACTGTTCCAGAAAAGTAATCAGTATATCTGCCACAACCTTCTCCAATATTTTAGAGATATAAAGTACTTTAGAAATGGGTCTGTAATTTTTAGGCTGAGATGAGTCCAAACTTGTTTTTTTAGGGATATGTTCAATAACTGCATGTTTGAAAACAAATGGTACAGAGCCAGATTTTAGGGATAAATTAATAAAATCTACAATGGATGGGCCAGTTTGGTCAAACATGCTGATGAACAAGATTGTAGGAATGAAATCAGCAGGGCATGAGGTTGGTTTCATGTGTTTCTGAATGAGGCAAATGTTCTGGAAATCTACAGGAGTAAAGATAGACCATGATTGGGACGAAGGTGGTTGGATGAGGTGGTAGGAAGTAGATGGGGCTGAAAAACTTGCCCTGGTATTTCTGATTATATTCTCAAAGAATGCTAGAAAGTTGTTTCAGTCAGACCTTGAGTAAACTGTCATATAAGAGGGGCATGAGGGGAAACAATCTGGTTGATGGTGTCAAACAGGACTTTAGAGTTATTTTTGTTGACAGCAATCAGCTGAGCAAAGTAAGTGGCCCTGGAATTTTTTGCCAACTCATTCTGAGATGTTATCAGTTCTTTAAAGTGCAGCCTGTGACTTTCTAATCTAGTTGACTTCCAAAGTGTCTCGGCTCTGCGGCATGTCCTTCTGAGACTGTAAATGTTTTCATTAATCCAAGGACTCTTTCTCTTGCTAGAAAAAATGACCTGCTTAACGGGAGCCACTTCATCTAAGACACTGCAGCATTTCTTATCCAATGACTGGATGAACACGCTTGGATCGTCACCCTGAACTGAGCTGCTGTCAAATAATCTAGAACACGTGTGAGACACAAGGCCCACGGGCCAGATGTGGCCCGCGGAGCATTTTTATGTGGCCCGCGAGATAAATATCAAAAATATATTAAAACTGACCCCCTGGCTGATTTTACCGCAAAGACTACAATTCCCATGATGCTGTGTGGCATTAGCGCGGAGCCGAACCGCCCCCTCCTTTGTGTATTTTCCAGCGTCTGCTGGCGGTGTCTGCAGCTCCACTGTCTCTGACAAACTAAGCACTCCTCTCACTCAGCGCCGAGTTTACTCAGCTATTTTCCTACGTTGAAGCCCAGAAACAAAAATTTTAACCGCTCAGTAATGTGTTCACGACTGAAAGAGAAAGTTCTCCAACTAACTTGCAGACACAGCTGATATAACTCCAGCGAGCAGCGACACGCTCAAATCAGTATGGCTGCTATCGTTTTTATTTTTCCTCCCCGACACACAACAACATGGTCAAGCTGCTCAGACAGGTCAGCAGCACAAACCTATGTGTCATGTTGTCATTATTATGATGAAGATGAACAAAACAACAGGAGTCTCCTCCTGAGCTCAGATCAACCCCATGATGCAGGTATCTGGTTGGAACAGGTGAGCATCACAGTAAAACTGAGCTTTAAATGTTTAGGTTTAATGCTCTTTTTCTGCTCCCAAACATGAAAGTTAACAGGTGAGATATTGCATTTTCATTTAAGATAAAATGATATTTTTATTTTGTTGTTTGACCATGAGAAAAGATTTAACCCTACAGTAAAACAGGAAGTGGAAAGGCTGCACATAGAGGAATAGAATAGAAAATCCCTTTATTGTTCCTCAGTGGGGAAAGCTAGATGTCACAGCAGCGATGACACTTATTACAGGAGAAAAAAAGGAAAATAAAAAATAAGAACAATGAATAAACAACAAGAAAACAAATCCTGAATAGATTTTAAAAATGCTGAATATACCACAAGTAATGAATACCACTGATGCATTTAATTTAAAATTGACTTGCTCGTGTGTAATTTGGTTATTCCACATTCAGTGTTAATGCAAAAATAAGTTTGTTTCAAAATTAAAAGGTTCAAAATTGCATATATGTTGATAAAGAAAATGTACTAATTTACCATCACTTTTTCAATAAATATTAAGTTTGGCCCGTAACTTCGTCCCAGATTTTCATTTCGGCCCCGTGTGAATTTGAGTTTGACACCCCTGATCTAGAAAATCCACCCTCTGCTGACTGATTAATGATACGTCTCTTAGATTTTAGGCTGTGAGGGACAGATTCAACATTAGATTGGACATTAAAGAGAATGCAGCTATGGTCACTCACAAAAAGCTCTTCAACATGTAAATTTGACTTTTAGTCCCAAGGAGAAAACAAGATCTAGGGTGTGGCCTATTTTGTGTGTGAGGCCTGAAACGTGCTGTTCTAAGGTAAACAGACATGAACTCTACTGCTGTGCTACAAGTAGGGTCATTAGTGTGTAAGTTAAAGTCACCAAGAATTAAACAACATGTATTTTTAAATCTTTCACTCTCATGTATGTGAACATAACAGATGACCTTAGAAATGCAGAAAGGAATTTACAAAAAAATACTTAAAACATCTATAAATGAAACAGGTTTAATAAAGTGGCTCTTCCTCACCTGTTCCTCCCTGCTTTGGATCACCACCAGATCTCCATTCCTTTCCCGACAGAATTCCTGACTACTTATCCAGCTTTTCCATTCATAATAATAGTGATGTTTTGTAAACAGGTAACATTTAGACTGAAAGAGGATCCAACCATCCAGACAGGGTTGACACACTGTGGGGAGAAACATGTTCTGAGTTTAACAGGATAAGTCTCTGGAATAACAAATGACCTTTTACCTTTCTGTGGGCAGAGCTGATCCACCGGGAATCTGTCGTATTCCAGGATGACTTCCATGGTCCAGTTGAGTTTGTCCCTGTCTCTGATCAGATCTTGGGTTTGTCTCATTAGGGCCTCCATCTCTGCGTGGAGCCTCTGATTCTGAGCCATGAGGGTGATGTTGAGTCTCCTCTGCTCGTACGCAACTGCAGTCAGGAACAAAAGGTTTTGATGTTTTTTCTCAAGCTGCTTTGAAAAGTTAGAGACAACGGACTTACAGTGGATGCTGAGCGAGACGATGACCAACATCAGGATGAAACAAAGAACTCCCAAAGACACCAGAACCAAAACATGAGGGACTTTCTTTGGACTTCCTGCATTAAGAAAAAATAAAAGTCTGTTTATTTTACAATTTGACATTAAAGGTGCATTAATTTGGTACTTTAATAACCGCTAATGACCAGTTATGGCCGGAGGTGGATCGCACATCTCGTCCTTTGTCTTCACCTCATCGTAGATTATTTCCTGGTTGTTTGGTTTTTCTGCCAAGCAAATAAAAAAGCATTAAAGAAAAGACTTTAGGGCTTTACAGTTTATAGGTAAACATTTTATGTAAGTACCGGTTTACAAAAGTTTTGTGAGCAAAAAACAATGTTTACAGTTTTTACTTTTATAATTTATCATTTGTATATCATCAAAAAACTCCATCAAACCACAAATGGAGCATTAGGTTTAGTACCTTCGTCAGAAACCTGCTATATCCAGTACTGTACATGTCTGCTGCCCCCTGGTGGGGGATCAAGAAGTGGAATGTGCCAGTTTTATTTAATAAAACATTTTATTTTCCTGTAAATGGCTTTTTTTTCTCCCTTTGATCTGAACTCTCAGCTGGGAACCTTCAGCCATTGTGTACTTCTGGGTTTTGGTGCTCCTTTAAACAAAAGTGTTTCCGTTTGAACTTAAAGCTTTCAGGTTTTCCGGTCATATTTAATCTGATTTTTATGTCACTGAACTGAAAGATGAAACTATTCTGCTCCAGAGGTGAAAGCCTCAAATGTAAACATAATTCATAATGTAGCAGCTTTCAGACCTGTAGAGTGAACCTGGACTGACTCTTATTCTGTCAACTAGGATGAATCTGTCTTACAAGACAGGAAGTTTGACATTACTTAAGTCACGTGACCCTCCCTGAAGGGCTCACATAAAAACATGTGGGGTTTAATCTAGGTGGTTTTAGACTTCATAATATTTAATTGTCTTTTTCAATGCGAACAACAAGACAAATGTTACAAACAATAAATCACTTTTACATGCTTTTATTTTGAAAGGTTATTTCTGCTTGACTTTGTATTATAGCTGAATATTTATTTTGAAATCACCTCACTTTTCTTTATTAAAATGTTTTCATGTAACATTTACAAATGCAGGTTCTAAATATTAATTGAAACATCAATATTTGTCATTTGTACATTGAAGCTAAATATGGTAAAAGGTCAGTTTTAACCCTCCCACTCTCCTCATGGGTGACCCCACCAGGAAAGTTGACCACTGAGCAGGGTTGATGGTGTATCACTTGAGGTCCACGTGGCAGGGGTGAGGAGTGAGCACCACCTCACCGTCTCTATAACAACTCCAAACGTGAAAAAAAACATCCAACTGTTTTCTCAGTGTCTGGTTTTAGGAACTATGGGTCTTTATCAAGCCATTTCAAAAAGCCCCTGTTTGTGATGTCACAAATGTGGAAGTTTGCATAGAACCACATCATCTCCTGTCCAGGATGGAGGAGCTGTGGCTCTACTCCAAACTTTTTCTGATATTAAAGCTTTTCAGCTTATAGCAGCCTGAGCTGGGTTTGGGTGGGCGTGGTCAGCTCCAGTTTTTTTTCTTAAAGTGACAGAATCCTGAAATGGCTCATTCTGGAAGGTACTGAAAATGTCAAGAATAAAACTGCTGAAATTGCTTTATGTAAGAGGTATTTGTGCTAAAAACTTTTGTGAAGACCATATAATTATTATGTATTTTTAAATAGCCATAATATGTCTCCTTTAATATAGTTACTGTTTTTATGTGACCTTTTAAAATCTGCACCTCATAAAGAATAAAGACAACTCATTGCCTTAAATCCAAACACAAAGAAAACTCAAAAACAGTAAAAGAAAACTAAAAAGTTAGTTTTGTTACTCACCAGTTGTGGGGATATCATACATTTTAAAAGTCACATTAGCATAATTCGATTCCTCCATTATTTATAAAGGTTTGATCAGCAGCAGAAGTGTCCTCTCCAAAGTCAAACAGCCAAGTGGAAACAGGTCAGTGAGTTGAACAGCTGCAGAAAGTGACAGATTACAAAATGTTCAGTTCTTCTTTTTGCCCACATTTTGTAAGAATGAAAACTGGAGATTATTTTCGGATTCACAAATATATTCAGGGTGTTATGTTATATGTCATTATGTTTTAATCTTGTTGCTCTCCCATGATTATGTGCCTTTCTCCTGTGGTTTCTGTCTTTTTTCCCACAATAAAAGTATTTAGAAAACAATTTGTAAAAATAAATAAATACACAAGCTCTGAGATTGATTTATAGACACTTGCGGGGACCAGAAATCAAAAAATAAGAATTAGAAAAAAGTGGAATAAAATTTATAAAAATACACAGAGTGAGGGTTGATTAATAACGAAATGTCAAAGTTATACTTCCTGTTCCGGTTGTCAGTCTGTTTCCCTTGGGGTTCCTCTTTCTGAGGCCATTCAATCCAGAAGTAAACGTTACAACATGTCAGTGTGTCATCAGGCGGAGGACGGGTGGTTCCTCCGGTTCTTTGGCTCCTCAACATGAAGCAAGCTTTCATGTTTTCAGTCGTCAGAAACACAGGAAGTTCCAAGTAACGTTCTTCTGTGTGTGAAGCTGCAGCTTTGACCAAATTACATTAATCAATTAACATTTAAAGCACAATTTGTGTTTTTTATTTCTCTGTAAGTTCTCGCTAAACCCCTTCTGGCCTTAACGCGACGGAGCATCAGGATTAGTACCATCATTAGAAATCTGCTAAAACCAGTCTTAAACCGTTTTTATTTTTCCTATCAGCAGCTGATTTCTGTTGGCTGACTACAGCTCATCTCATCTTATTTGTCTTTCAAATGTTCTTTTGTGCTCTACTGTGCAAGTCCGTACAACCTATCGTGATTTTATTAGTTTGTTTCTTTCACTTAAGGCATATTATGATTCTCCCTGACTCAGATACATGAAAACATAACACCTTCCTGCTTTTTTTGTGGGGTGCAAGTAAAAGGATTTCCTACTCCAGGAATTTAAGATTTTTAAATTTCCCAAAATCACCTAAATCAGCCAAGGAGCTGAAACCAAGTGTTTCCCACCAAGATCCTGATGGGCCAAAACTCTGATGCTCAGATCAGGGTGGATGTGTTTAGACAGAGTCACGTTATTTTTTTTTATTTTTTATTTTTTCCCAAAAACTTTATTGAACAAGGTGATAAGTATACAAACAAATTGCATACAAAATTGAACAAAGAACATGAAACATATGCCAGGGGGTGCACTACAGAAATGTTACACACATCCAAATAAATTGTAGGTAGTGCAAGTAGTTATAGTTTTTAAAGCTTTTTTATTTAGTGATCCACTAATCAATTTTCTGTAAGTGTCACTATAATAGTGTTTGAAATTAGGTTTTTGGTTACTACACTTGCATTTGAGGAGATATAATTTATTTAGAATAATTAACAAATTTTACAACAAAGTATACGTCTTCCTTTCTGTGCTTGCGAATAAAACACAAAATACAACATTTTCCTATTTTAAAATGAAGACCTTGTAGAGCTGTCCGATAATAAATCTGCTAAAGTCTTTCCAAAACGTTGTAGCATGTGAACAGATCCAGAAGAGGTGCTGAACGGTCTCGGGGTGGCTTCCACAAAACCAGCAATTCACATCAATGTCCCTCTTAAACTTTGTCATACAGTGATTAGCTGGGTAACACTTATGAATTATTTTGAATTAAACTTCTTTGACCTTATTTGTCACAAAATACTTATTAGGAATGGTCCATACTATTTTCCAACTAATGTCAGTGACAATGGAATTCCAATTAAAAAAATCACCTACAGATAAGGATTCTCTCTGAAATAAAGCACGAATATTCCTATTACTGTTTTTATGCTCGGTAAGACAAACTTTTCCTACGTATGTGTTCACAGGGTCGGGAGGAGAAATAGGTGGTACAACTGGTGGAACGCCTTTAAAAAGCATTCTGAAACCCAAAGTTATTGCAGCCAACAGCATGGCATAGTCTTTGGGAGTTGCTGGAAATTTATTTTAGGAATTCTGTATAAGACATAGGCTGTCCATTAGTATTATACAACTGATTCACAAAAATGATCTGTTTCTCAACCCAATTAGAGAAAAACAATGACTTATTTTATACACTATGTTCCTGTTATTCCAAATCAAGTAGGTATGGGGAGTAAAATTATGTTTATAAATCAGTGACCAGGCTAATAGAACTAGTTTGTGAAACATTGAAAGTTTTTCTGGAAGCTTTCTTATATTGCAGTCACAACCCAGGATAAAAGTTAGACCACCAAATTTAGAGAAGATATAGTGAGGAATAAAATTCCAAATGGAGACAGGATTTTTAAGAAGATGTTTTGCCCAGTTAATTTTAAACGTGTTGTTTAACGTAGTGAAGTCCAAGATATTGAGTCCACCATGTTGATAGTCGTTCATTTTTATTGACAGAATCACGTGAATGAAGCTGAACATCGTGGACATGCGCCCCCTACTGGTTAATCTGAAGTTTGCCTTGTTGGTTTGCATCAAGGTTACATGGTTTAACAGGTTGATGAAACAAAATGAGTTGCAACAGCAGCTAACTTTTAATAATTACATCCACATTTGCATCTTTTTCTCTTTTTAAATATTTAGTTTATTATATCTTAAGCTTACTGACCAGTAGGGGGCAACACCGAGTTCCGGAAGCTTCCAGATATTAACCAGCTTTATTAGTTATATTAATTTGATATAATAATAATAATGGAGTGAAGCTTTTTAGACAACAGAAGATTTTTAAATTAGAGCTCAATCTTCTGGTCAAAGTTAAGGAAAGCCAAGAGGTGCAAATATTTGTTACATGGGACCAAAAAAATGAAAGAAAAGACTAATAACAGAAATCTGTTCCACAAAAAACAATTATCAACTACGTCTGATTGATTTTAAATAGTTTAGGAAGTTCTGAGTTAAAGAAAGAAGGAAGGAGTATCGATGTTATGATGAAAGCAATAAACTGGAAAAAGGAATACACAGTTTCTTAGGTGAGCATTTGCTAAACTTCTTTAATTTCATTACTTTTTCTTTCAAGTCTATTTTCTAATGTTTGTGTTTGTTTCACTAAGAAAATGTCTTTTGTTTGTTTGTTTTTTGGAAATATTGTGAACTAAATGGATGCCACATGTTCAAATCCTTATGCAAAGTTTGTACGGATCTGTTTCAAGGGCAGACCTGTGAGGACTCTTTTCTATAGAGTCAGTGTTTTAGAGTCAGACACAAACTGCTACTGCCTTCTTAGAGCTCTCATTTTATTACATGTCACATTCAGGTCTAAAACCATGTCAGTTATCTGCAAAATCAAAATGATCAATTATGATTTCTGACTAAATCCTAGTGAGATCCTGAAAGAAATGTTGCTGTTTCAGTAAACAGAGAAATGTGAAGTCAAACTGAACTTGGTCTGAATTCATTCTCATTTATCAGCGATTTATCGTCTTTATTCGCCTTTCATTCAAACACCTTAGGTTTGCTTTTCCTCCTAATTATGTAAATGTTTCTTCCCCAGAATGCAAAGCAGATCTGTTTGTCTCTGGTGGAAGTCACAAACAAGTTCAAACTGGTTCGTGGTGATTAACTTTATTGCAAACAAATAATAAATGCACAAAAGAAGGAAAATTAACAATTGTTATGAGGCTATGATGAAAAAACACAAAATTTAACTAGTTGAAAAACACATCAGCTCTCCCCTCTATAAAAACTATTCAGGCACAACAGAATATAGTTATTAACAACACCTCATTAAGTCCTGACTGACACCTTTCTACTAATTATTATCTAACTATTCAGTGGCATCATTGCATCAGCTGAAACACATTGGCGAAAGAAATTTCAGAACTCTTTGTTTACCTCTGAGCTGTTCATTATTAAGCTAGAATGTAACCAGTGAACATTTCTGTTCTACACGTAAATCCTAAATGATCTCCTCATCAAAGCACGCCTCCTGTTTTCCTCTCACGGAGCGTTTCCATCAGAGTCCCTGATGAAAACTCGACCATCAGAGCGGTTTTTCCACTGCAGACGAACAACTCCAGAAATGTTCTGTAGCTTATTCTCCATCTGCAGCGAAGACAAAAGAACATTTTTCATTTCTTAGCAACAACTGAGGCCTTGTCCACGTTCTTTTAAAAACAAATATCAGCCCTCCCAATAAATGGTGCCCACCACCTTGATTTTAGAAAACACTCCATCCACATGTAACAGCATGAGTGCATTGTTACGCACATTCATAGGCATGCCAGAGCTGTAGGTGGCAGTAGTTTCCCCGAATCATACTCGGCTACCTTTCAATTGCGTTTCAAGGGGTGCGAGTGCATAGGGTGTCCTGATCCTCAAGTGCGAAAGTTGATCACACCCATTTTGCTTCCGTGATTCTCACGTTCCTAAAAGTCTGCATCGATGCGGACTTGGGCAAAGGGTATTACCCACAATCCATTGCTAAGTGGGATTTTTGAGAAGAAGACGGAACAATGGCCCAGTTCTTATTCAGAAAAATATTATTTTCGAACAAAAGAAGTTCACAATTAATTATAATTATTTTTGCTCTGATTGTTTAAAATTTTGTCAATTGTTTGTTTGAATTTTGCTAATAAATTTTTTCTTTAAGTAGCACAAACTGCAAACGGCATCAGGGCATGTGTCATGATTGATGACCCAATGGTCACTGTCCCAATTTGGCAATTGTTTGCACACTTGGGTACAATGAACTTAAAGCCTTACTGCACACTTCCTCCAAGTGCACTTCGCTGAAGACCGCAGGGTGCCGTTTGAGTATTGGGACTGGGCTGAAATCTTTCTAACTCACCTGCTCCAGGATGCTGTTTTGCACTTCCGGGTCGTTTAGATCCAAAGTTGAGTTCAGTGGGCTGACTCTCAATTTCATATAAATTAGTTGGCTTTGATCTAAGAAACAAAATAAACCCTTAAATAAAGACTCCATCTTTGTGTTGCACATTAAAACGAACATTCACTGGTTCA